CTCCTGACGTGCATTAATTTCCATAAAACCCTACATCACACGGATCATGTACTTTGACATTACACCTAGCAAACAATCGCCGTCATTTCACCGCCTGGGTCACCAAAGACCCGATACAGTCCGGCTATGAGTAACACACGTCTAGCCAAAATAACCTTGAATTTGATGACTTATCGTTTTTGCTAAAACACCTTGTGAGATGAATGATATTCCATCACGTAAGCAAAGTCAACAGTGATTACAAGGGGTTTGGTTTCATTTCTTTGACATGTTGCATAGCACGTGACGGGTTAGACGTCTATAAAATGTTTAAGCCTAGACGTCTGGATGGCTATTAGACGTCTTTTAAACGCCAAATTGCTTGCTGGGTAATGTCAAAAGTCAGCGCCTGAGGCCTTATCACGCACGGCCAAACCTGATTCGAGCTCTCACAGGGACACGCTGAACATCACACAGGGTTCTGGTTATATGTGTGCGTTAAGGACACCTGTGACCCGTGTCAGTTTAAATCCCGCCTGTCTGACACACGTCCCGTCACAGCGGCTCTGAGAAAACACACATCTGGAAGCATGAATTAGAGATGATAGTGCCAGTCAAAGCACGCTCCATCATCTCGTTGAGCTCGGTGAGTGTGAAATCTAATCCTCAATCACTGCCATTGATTTCATCACCATCTGCAGAGCCGTTCCTCGGGCAAAGGCATAAGATAAGTCGTCAGGATTGGGAACGTTCCCAAACCGAATTATAATTGTGCTCTGAACACTGGCACTGAAGCGTCGCGTGTTTCCAGATGGATCGACTTCAAGCGTCTCATCATGAAAAATGAGTTTCCCAATTGCCTTTACAACACAATAATTCATAAAATCGGGGTTATTTTAACCCAAATTTGGTTCAAATATGGACAAACCCAAATGTTGGGTTAAAAATATTTAACCCAATGGCTGAGTTTGTCCATATTTGACCCAAAGATGGGTTAAAACAACCCAGCATTTTTAGAGTGTGGGAAAGTGATTCATAAAATTCGACAAAAGAAATAGCCATAAATATTGTCGATCAACTCTCATTCATTGTATGTGAATAATCTCCTTAAGTGAAATCATCACTAACATTTAAACGTTTGGTGCAAGTTTTTTAATATATTTTTTTATGTAAAAGAATACTTTTATTCAGCAAGGATGCATTACAATGATCAAAAGTGACATTTATAATGTCTATTTCAAATGAATTCTGTTCTTTTTAACTTTCTATTCATCAAAATTGATGAGTTTCCACTAAAATATGAAGCAGCATGACTGTTTTCAACACTGATAATAATCATAAACGCTTCTTGATCATTAGATCATCATATTATAGTGATGGAGTAATGATGCTGATCACAGGAATAAATTACACTTTACAATATATGAAGAGTTCAGATGCAAAATTTGAAATTTTCTTCTTTAATGATGATTTTTATCAAGCTTGTATATTTAAGTTCAGTGATTTCACTTAAATGTTATTTAAGTGAAATTACTGAACTTAAATGTACACGTTTGATAAAAATCATCATTAAAGAAGAACATTTCAAATGGCATTTAGAGGCTTTTGCATCTGAACTCTTCATATATTAACATAGAAAACAGCTATTTTAATCGTAATAATATTTCACAGTTTAACTGTATTTTTGATCAAATTAATGCAGCCTTGGTGAGCAGAAAAGATTTCGTCCAAAAACATTAAATATTCATCTTACGAACCCCAAACGTTTAAACGATGTATGAAATGTTTCACAATTAAGACCCAATCTTCGTGAATCTGAACATCATACGTCGTCAGTTAATTAAAGCAACGAAGCACACAGTTGCATTTACAAAACAGCTAACGATGTCTGAGCCCAGATCTGAAGCTGTCAATCTGAATTCGAGTCAGTAGCCATGTTTCTATCGACACGTTTTTATCCGAATTAAGTGAAAAATGCCTTATGGAAACAGTAAAATTCGATGAAATTTCATGAAAATCGACTCAAATGAAATACCTTCGGTCTCATCGGATTTTATCTTGATCGATATACGGCTAATATATAGCGAGGCGGTTGTTATAGCGAATACAACCGCCTCGCATACATTATCCCATTCATATGTCGCTATCAGCTGGCACATAAACATCATAAGGCTTCAACTTGTGAAATATTGATCATTTGTTGGTAGATCCATTTTGTCTAACAAAACTTTACTTGAATGTTGTTCGATTCAGTGCGAAAATCAATGGAAACACCTTAAAATGTCTCAAATCAATTCGATATACCAATTTGATCGCAAAACAGCATGTGACGTCATTACGTACAGGTTTTTATTCGCTTTAACGCCGTTGGATGGAAACACACTTTCACCAGCTTTATCCGCATGAGTTTTATAACCGAATCTCAGATAAGTGGATGGAAACATGGCTAGTGATTCTGAATCAAAAGTCTGATTCTGTGACAGCGTCTCTGCTCTGGATTTAATGCAATGCTTCAGACATCACCCAGGTTTCGTCTCTCTCTCTCTAATCAGTCACTCTTTCGCCCTGATTCCTTCACTTTCTACTTCCCATCAAGCCTACAAGGTTCGACTCCCTGCGGTTGTCTTTGTGTTGTGATTTATTTATGTAACTGTCACAATAAAAACTCCACAATCAATATTTTACCCCCTCCGGAAACTAGCGAGAGCCCTGAGAAAACAATCACAAGACGCGGGGAACAAACGAAACGCCTCATCGCGGCGAGCGGCCCCCGGGGGTCCCGGTGCCTGCCATCAGCACACATCTCCTCAATACATCAGTGTCTCGTTGCATTTGTGCTTCCCTTTCTCCCTCGTCTCGTGTCTCGAAAAGTTCAGTTTTCACGACGCATGAACTTTCCTCAGGTCAGAGGCTCTCAGGTCTGTGTGTGTGTGTGTGTAAATGCTGTCCCTGGGTTCACTTTGAGACACACTGAGGGTGAGAAAGAACAGGGAAAAAAATGTCAAACTTGCCTTTAGAAGTAACACAAAGAGCCCTATCATAGACCGGTGGCGCGACGCAAGTGCGTTTTGCTAGTTTCAGCCTGACGCAATTTTCATTTTTACGTTCTGCGCCGCGTTGTTTAAAGGGGGGGGGGGGTTGACTGCGATTTCACTTTTTTCATTTTAAATAGTGTGTAATGTTGCTGTTGGTGCATGAACAGTAGGGCTGGGTAATAAATATCAATTTCTCGATATTAATCGATTCTCATTTTTACGAACCGATATCGATTCTTAAATCTCAAGAATCGATTAGTAATCCTGTTTCATTTGAATGAATGAGACATTGTATCGCGGCTGCGCGCATCCAACAAATTGCAATAATCTTTGTCCTTTGTTACTATTGATATGAAACAAAGTCTCAATTTTCAAATTATGTCCATTTTCTTTAGAAATTCAAAAACATAAATAGTGTTTTGGCGCTGTGGCGTGAGATCGCTCTGGAGAAGCAGCAGCGCTGATCTCTCTTCCGGCTTAATAATACCAGTCACAGCGCCAAATAAACACGAATGAGCATCTGAAAGTGTGTTAAAGATCGAGTACAACTTATCGAAATCCGTATCATGTCACATTGATTCGCTCAATCTGCGTTTCAACCGTGGAAAGACGTCAGTTAAACAGCTTGTAATCAATGTCACGTATCGTCATATTTACCTCAGAAAACGCACATAAACTCGTTAGTCCACACTCGTTAGTGTTCTTCAATATTTAATGCATATTTGAATAAATCTGGCACGTTTTTATGACAGCCACCATTTAAATGTTTATATTTCATATAATCGTCTTATTATAAAAATAAATAAAAGTGTAATTTAAGTGTTTGTATAGCTACAAAACAGTTCATTATTACCTTCATATTAGGCTAATGAAGCCTATAGGCTACAACTAGACTATATATATAGACCATAGTTTACAGCATTTAAGAGATTTGATTCCCTTGAGAAAAATTGCCATTTATTGTAACTGATATCCAAAATAATCGATATTGAATCGAATCGTAATCGAAATCGAATCGAATTGCAAGCTTGTGAATCGAAATCGAATCGAATTGTGAAATTTGTCTCAATACCCAGCCCTAATGAACAGTATCTGCAAAGCTGCAGCGCTAAAAGTTCAGTGTAAGCAGAGATATCGTCTTTTAAAAATCAGGAAGTATATTGCCTACAAAAACGAGTTCAACACCGGATTCTGTTACTGAAACATGAACTTTAAAACCAGAGACAGCAGTTTTTGGGCCACAACCTGTAAGTAGGCGAAGACTTAACCATTTTAAATGTATTTGCATGTATAATTCCAGACGTAGCCGTTGTGTTTTAGTTTTTTTTCAAATGCCAGCGCTAGCTTTATTGCCACTAGGCTATTAGTAATGCTATTGTGTCTACGACAAACGCGTACAAACATGAATTTTGTATAAGTGCTAATGTTGTAAATGTATTTTTCGTGTATGTGTGTTTTATGACGTTATTTTCGATTTGATCAAGAACGTAAACTTGCCACCGCTGTTTGAGTATGACATTAGTAGCCAGTCAGTTGCTATTGTTGCCAGTCAGATGCTATTGTGTAAAACAAACGTGTATAAAGTTAATTATCATTCAGAAACGTTTATTAAGAGCCGTGTGTGGTGAGGTTCTGTTTGACTCGCTTCATCGCGGCTGATTCTTACTGCAGTTCGACGCATATTTACATCTGGACCGGAGCTCATGACGTGCCCGTAAAGGTAATGGGCGTTAACTTTCCGGACAACGTAAGCGACAGTTTAGCCAATCACAACACACCGGGCCAAGCTAACCAATCTGAGCCCACGACGTGTTTCTGAGGGAGTGGTTTCATAGACTCAGGAAGTCAACCGCTCGTTCGAGGACAGAGGAGAGCGCGACTGACAATAAACGTGACGTTTATGAAAAATAAGACTTTTAAAAAACGAAAAACCACGAATACATGTTATATTGCACCCCATAAACACAATCGTGCAAAGAAAACCCAGCATTTAAATAGCAAATGCATTTGCGCCTATTGTTGCTATTTAATCCTGAAATAGACTGAGCCAAAGATACAGAAAAACAAACAAAATAACCTTTGAGCAGCTTTGTGACTAATGTTGTTGGCTTATTTTACGTACAAATAAGAAATGGCGCACGGAAATTTCTCCATTTCTTCTCTGTCGCAGTAAAAAGGCAAAACCATTCTCGCTAAGTCAAACTTGATTGCCACACACACACACAGAGCAGGGCTACACTATCATATGATCCTGGAAGACACAAGTGAGTAGTAATTTAGTTGGATTAGTTGACACCCACTCAATGGGCTGAACAAAACAGAAATGCTACAGAGAACGTGGGCTAAAACAATTTTTGGTTTTCCTATATGTTCACCTCTCCACCTCAGAAAGTCCCAAACACTTGTAGAATGAATAAACCTTAAACACAACCCCTTAGATTCAAGATCAGCAATATGTGATCCTCATTAGGGCGACTAAAAAGGTGTTTTGGATTAGACAAAAATCAGTTTTTATATGCAGGCGTGAGTGCATAGGTTCCTGCAAAAAAAGTCTTTCTTTCTGTCTGTCCATGTCAATAATAATAATAATAACCAAACTCCTTGTGGATCAATTTGGCGTAGGTATAAAATAACAAAATGTCCTTTAGGTCTCAATAGATGTAGCATTTCACACCCTCCTATAGATTGATTAACATATATTTAAATATATAATTTCATATATATCTATATTCAATGAGAGGAAAACGGTAGATTAACAAAGCAAACAAAAGTGAACTCTAGAGCTCTAGGATTACTTGATAGATATTTAGATAGATATTTAAAAATGATTAAGATTAAACCACAGTGCCAATACAGAGATAACTAAAGAAGAGGTCAAACGCCACACAGAGGAAGAGCACTACTGAGTTAGGAGGGTGTGATTTAGCCTCACAAATTGGATGGGAGTTTCGAACGGAGCGGTTCTAGATCCGACAGGTGTCCATCGGAGGCACGCGGGAGAGAAAGTGCAGGTGACGTCCCTATAGAGTGAGCTTGGACTCGAGAGCTTGGAGAAGTCTGTACTGGGGAGGACATGTGCCCGGATACCGAGCTACAGGGTTTGGGAGTTAGCGTAGGCGATGAAAACGGGGATGAGCCCAAACCGGGATCCTGAGGGGAAAGTTGACCCGCTCCCTCTACGGAAAGTGACGGGTGGGAGCTGGAGAGTATGTTTAAATCCTCATAAAAGCGGCCTAGGGGAGAGTCAGTGCCTGAAAAGTGGTGCCCGGGGAGTTGGCCGGGACAGGAGGATTGTGGGAGAAGCAGGGACGTGTGGGAGCCGGCGGCACTGGAAGGGTTACTATAGTGGAAAGTTCTCCCAATTACGGGGCTTTGGATAGTCGGGCTTGGGGCCAACGGGGTGTAGCAGGGAGAGGCGTTCGCTGAGCCGTACTGAGCGAGCGAGGCAAGCGCTGACCTTTCTAAGGGAAGGTACGTGGATAAAGCGGGTGGGATCTCGTGGGATGAACTCTCGAGGGCTTGGGAACGGTTGGAAGTAGGTGATCCGGGAGTTTGGAAGAGGTTCAATCCGGTGCAAGTCTTCCCGCCTCCGGAAGCAAACTGCAGGGAGCTTGTTTGAGAAGGTTTCGGTGGAGGTTGTCCAAGATTGGGAGCGCGAGTGAACAAGCCAAGAGGACTCGTGTCAGTCGCTCGTTGGAGGCGTCCCGGTGGCGTACTGGGAGCAATGGTTTGCTTTTGCCTTGGCTGTGAATGAAGCTGTGCAGTGCTAGAAGTCAGAGACGACGTTGAAGTTGAAGAGTAGCTCGCAAACGGGAATGCCGACGCTTGTTGACTGGAACCAGTGGCGCCAGACAAAGGATGCATTCGAAGAAGAGGTGTGTCGGTTCCCGAGCGCATCTTTGATGGGGAACCGGATGGAGAGTCTCCAGCTGATCCAGGACCTCCTAAAATTGGTGCAACCGTCGGAAACCTCTTTATCTGGCTGAGCGGCTCGTTTCTCGATCCGATTACGGAAACGGGAGGTCGGAAGAGAGTCGCGGGTAGATGGGGGTGGTGGGTTAGTGCAATGGCGACTGAAGTGGTTGCAGCAGCAGCTTGAAGAGGCGCTTGGATCAGGGGAGCCCAGATCACGGGAGTAGGAGACGGAGGAGCAGGAGGCGAGGGACTTTGCATCAGCTCGGCACAGTGAGCCATGTCCCGGTCGTGCTGCACAATCTGCTGGATTATCTCACTTTCCTGGTAGTTCAAAGCTCCTGAACTCAAGTCGTGCTGGACCTTGTGCTGCAGAACCGAGTTCTTCTTCCCTGAAGGGGTGAAAGACAAAGTTTTTGATTTGAAGTCAGCAGAAAAACACATTTAATGGCAACATTGACAAAGAGTACCGTGGTATTTTCATTTTTTGGTTATAATAGCACAGTATTACCATGGTTATGTTACATATATATATAATTATGAATGTTAATTAAAAAAACTGTAGCCGCAATTGCACTCTTCATTCAAATGGATCATGTCTTTTTTATTAACACCCACCAAAAATGATATTATACATCCTCAGGTTACGCCTTGAATATGAAATCAAAAACATGAAATTGTTCGATCTGTCCACCGTTTCAACAGCCCTTTGATTGGTCTCACACATCAGCGCTGCTGTCCGGCTCGCCTCAGGACGACTCCGAGAGCTATCAGGACACGGGCCGAACGGAAATACTTCAGTATGCAGGAGTCAGATCGCTGCGGTGTTCGACCGCTCCTCGCGACAGGCCCAGATAACAGCGAGTACAGAGAGAGCGAGACGTGACCTCTGCCTTACTGATATAAACGGGAGAGCAAGGGCACTTTGCTATGTTTGGTAATGATGACACACTATCACTCACTCTCACACGGGCCGGCAGGAGCCGAGCTCGACACAAGACACTTTTGATCTTCTGGCTAAACAATAATAGAGACAATAAACATAAATGTGCACTTGATTTAGTTCACTGCTAAACATAACTTCTGAATTTAGATCGGTGTGTTCGAATCTCAATAAATTCTGTCTTGGAAATGATAAAAACGAAAAAAAACAAAACGAAAAAACAAAAACAAATATTTATTTAAATTATGTTAATAATAATATTAATTTTATTTTTTATACATTTTAATAATTTTGTGATAATTTAATTATATATTCTTTTTTTTCTCACTCTTATTTTTATTTTTTAGTCAACACAAAGCATGGTTATCTCAGTTTCGAGTATTAATTATATATTCTTAATACATTATAATTAATTAAATTATTGATTAATATATAATTCACACACACACACACACACACACACACACACTTAATAAATTATAATTAATCAAATCACTGATTAATATATAATAGATACACTAACACATGCTCACACACACACACACACGGACTGACATACACTCACTCACCTAATAAATTATAATTAATTAAATAATTGATTAATGCCATAATGCAGACTGTCTGAAACAAATCATGATAATAATTCAATATTCTTATTTTCTTCATATTAATCTGCTCTGAAAGGACGCCGGGGTGCTAAACTTCTAATTGGATTGGAGTTCAGGCCGTTTTCTGATAGGAAGAGGAGCGCTCGAACAGTTCTTCACCGCAGGGACACACTCAACCTGTGTGAACCGCGACTCAACACAACACAGATGCAGATCTCTTTAATCTGTAGTTAATTAGTGATGTCCATGAGCGACTGTGAGCAGCGGATAACAGAGTCCTGCTACAAAAACATTTACAATACAAAAGAAGCACATCATACACTTAGTATTTTTGTCTAAAACAGGCAAAATGATCTGCCAATGGGGTAAGAAAAATAAAAATCTTGTTTTCCATTTGAATTTTTTTGCACAATAATTTTTTTTCTTATCCCAAGGCAGAAAATTTAGATTTTTTATTCATTTTTTTTTTATTATCAGAAAACAAGATATAATTTCTTACGTCATTTTACTTGTGTAGCAAATGCTTCTTGATTTATGAGTTTTTAGATATTTAGACTGGAAACAAGACTGAGTAAGAAAAGCATTTTCTCACTGTGTGAATAACTCTGCTAAGAGACCAGTGTGTGTATGAGTGTGTGTTGTTTTTCTCGCTGTCGGTGCTGGATGTGGATGTTCACAGTGACAGATAAGAGCTACTAGGGAAAATACAGTGTGTGTGTGTGTGGCGTAAACAGCAGCGAGACTCACTGACTCAATAAGGCAGAAACCAGAGACGCTGACAGAGAAATTACACTCCGTTCTGAGACATTAAACACAAGAGGGAGTGAGAGCTCAGTTTAGCTTCAGTTACACACACAACTGTGTGTGTATTTATGTGTGGTGTGTCTGTTTATGTGTGTGTGTGAGCCAGTATGTGTGTGAGTGTGCGTGTGTGAGTAACCATTTTCTGTGTCTTACCAATGCGGTCCAGGCGGTCCAGGGCGACGGTCTCGAACGCTCTCCTCATCATGGGATACTCCTCCAGGACCTCGTTGAAGTTATCCACCGACAGCGAGTAGAGGCGACAGTACGTGTCGGACCGGACGCTAGCCGTGCGTCTGCCGCGGGTCAGGAGACAGATCTCTGCACAAGAGAGGAGAGAAACACACCCATCAACACATGCTATGATGAATCACACAGGGAACAAAACCAGAGAACAAAACCAGAGAACAAAAACCAGTGAACAAAACCAGCGAACAAAACCAGAGAACAAAACCAACGAACAAAACCAGAGAACAAAACCAGCGAACAAAACCAGAGAACAAAAACCAGTGAACAAAACCAGCGAACAAAACCAGAGAACAAAAACCAGTGAACAAAACCAGCGAACAAAACCAGAGAACAAAAACCAGTGAACAAAACCAGAGAACAAAACCAGCGAACAAAACCAGAGAACAAAAACCAGCGAACAAAACCAGCGAACAAAACCAGAGAACAAAAACCAGTGAACAAAACCAGAGAACGAAAACCAGAGAAAAAAAACAGTGAACAAAACCAGTAAACAAAAAAACATAGAACAAAACCAGAGAACAAAACCCAGTGAACAAAACCAGTGAACTAAACCAGAGAACAAAACCAGAGAACAAAAACCAGTGAACAAAACCAGTGAACAAAACCAGCGAACAAAACCAGTGAACAAAACCAGAGAACAAAACCAGAGAACAAAACCAGAGAACAAAACCAGTTAGCAAAACCAGTGAACAAAAACCGTGAACAAAACCAGAGAACAAATCCAGTGAACAAAAACCAGTGAACAAAATCAGTGAACAAAACCAGAGAACAAAACCAGTTAGCAAAACCAGTGAACAAAAACCATGAACAAAACCAGAGAACAAATCCAGTGAACAAAAACCAGTGAACAAAACCAGAGAACAAAACCAGTGAACAAAACCAGAGAAAAAAACCAGTGAACAAAACCAGTGAACAAAACCAGAGAACAAAAACCGTGAACAAAAACCAGAGAACAAAACCAGTGAACTAAACCAGAGAACAAAAACCAGAGAACAAAACCAGAGAACAAAACCAGAGAACAAAAACCAGTGAACAAAACCAGCGAACAAAACCAGTGAACTAAACCAGAGAACAAAACCAGTGAACTAAACCAGAGAACAAAAACCAGTGAACTAAACCAGAGAACAAAAACCAGAGAACAAAACCAGTGAACAAAAACCAGAGAACAAAACCAGTGAACTAAACCAGAGAACAAAACCAGTGAACTAAACCAGAGAACAAAACCAGTGAACTAAACCAGAGAACAAAAACCAGAGAACAAAACCAGTGAACTAAACCAGTGAACAAAACCAGTGAACTAAACCAGAGAACAAAAACCAGAGAACAAAACCAGTGAACAAAAACCAGAGAACAAAACCAGTGAACTAAACCAGAGAACAAAACCAGTGAACTAAACCAGAGAACAAAAACCAGAGAACAAAACCAGTGAACAAAAACCAGAGAACAAAACCAGTGAACTAAACCAGAGAACAAAACCAGTGAACTAAACCAGAGAACAAAAACCAGAGAACAAAACCAGTGAACAAAAACCAGAGAACAAAACCAGTGAACTAAACCAGAGAACAAAACCAGTGAACTAAACCAGAGAACAAAAACCAGAGAACAAAACCAGTGAACTAAACCAGTGAACAAAACCAGTGAACTAAACCAGAGAACAAAAACCAGAGAACAAAACCAGTGAACAAAAACCAGAGAACAAAACCAGTGAACTAAACCAGAGAACAAAACCAGTGAACTAAACCAGAGAACAAAAACCAGAGAACAAAACCAGTGAACTAAACCAGTGAACAAAACCAGTGAACTAAACCAGAGAACAAAACCAGTGAACTAAACCAGAGAACAAAACCAGTGAACTAAACCAGAGAACAAAACCAGAGAACAAAACCAGTGAACTAAACCAGTGAACAAAACCAGTGAACTAAACCAGAGAACAAAAACCAGAGAACAAAACCAGTGAACAAAAACCAGTGAACTAAACCAGTGAACTAAACCAGAGAACAAAAACCAGAGAACAAAACCAGTGAACTAAACCAGTGAACAAAACCAGAGAACAAAACCAGAGAACAAAACCAGTGAACAAAAACCAGTGAACTAAACCAGTGAACAAAACCAGAGAACAAAACCAGAGAACAAAAAACAGTGAACAAATCCAGAGAACAAAACCAGTGAGCAAAACTAGCGAACAAAACCAGTGAACTAAACCAGTGAACAAAAACCAGAGAACAAAACCAGTGAACAAAAACCAGTGAACTAAACCAGTGAACTAAACCAGAGAACAAAAACCAGAGAACAAAACCAGTGAACTAAACCAGTGAACAAAACCAGTGAACTAAACCAGAGAACAAAAACCAGAGAACAAAACCAGTGAACAAAAACCAGTGAACTAAACCAGTGAACAAAACCAGAGAACAAAACCAGAGAACAAAAAACAGTGAACAAATCCAGAGAACAAAACCAGTGAGCAAAACTAGCGAACAAAACCAGTGAACAAAACCCAGAGAACAAAACTAGCAAACAAAACCAGTGAACAAAAACCAGAGAACAAAACCAGAGAACAAAAACCAGAGAACAAAACCAGTGAACAAAAACCAGTGAACTAAACCAGTGAACTAAACCAGAGAACAAAACCAGAGAACAAAACCAGTGAACAAAAACCAGTGAACTAAACCAGTGAACTAAACCAGAGAACAAATCCAGAGAACAAAACCAGTGAGCAAAACTAGCGAACAAAACCAGTGAACAAAACCCAGAGAACAAAACTAGCAAACAAAACCAGTGAACAAAAACCAGAGAACAAAACCAGAGAACAAAAACCAGAGAACAAAACCAGTGAACAAAAACCAGTGAACTAAACCAGTGAACTAAACCAGAGAACTAAACCAGAGAACAAAACCAGTGAACTAAACCAGAGAACAAAAACCAGAGAACAAAACCAGTGAACAAAAACCAGTGAACTAAACCAGTGAACTAAACCAGAGAACAAATCCAGAGAACAAAACCAGTGAGCAAAACTAGCGAACAAAACCAGTGAACAAAACCCAGAGAACAAAACTAGCAAACAAAACCAGTGAACAAAAACCAGAGAACAAAACCAGAGAACAAAACCAGTGAACAAAAACCAGTGAACTAAACCAGTGAACTAAACCAGAGAACTAAACCAGAGAACAAAACCAGTGAACTAAACCAGAGAACAAAACCAGTGAACTAAACCAGAGAACAAAACCAGTGAACTAAACCAGAGAACAAAACCAGAGAACAAAACCAGTGAACTAAACCAGTGAACAAAACCAGTGAACTAAACCAGAGAACAAAAACCAGAGAACAAAACCAGTGAACAAAAACCAGTGAACTAAACCAGTGAACTAAACCAGAGAACAAAAACCAGAGAACAAAACCAGTGAACTAAACCAGTGAACAAAACCAGAGAACAAAACCAGAGAACAAAACCAGTGAACAAAAACCAGTGAACTAAACCAGTGAACAAAACCAGAGAACAAAACCAGAGAACAAAAAACAGTGAACAAATCCAGAGAACAAAACCAGTGAGCAAAACTAGCGAACAAAACCAGTGAACTAAACCAGTGAACAAAAACCAGAGAACAAAACCAGTGAACAAAAACCAGTGAACTAAACCAGTGAACTAAACCAGAGAACAAAAACCAGAGAACAAAACCAGTGAACTAAACCAGTGAACAAAACCAGTGAACTAAACCAGAGAACAAAAACCAGAGAACAAAACCAGTGAACAAAAACCAGTGAACTAAACCAGTGAACAAAACCAGAGAACAAAACCAGAGAACAAAAAACAGTGAACAAATCCAGAGAACAAAACCAGTGAGCAAAACTAGCGAACAAAACCAGTGAACAAAACCCAGAGAACAAAACTAGCAAACAAAACCAGTGAACAAAAACCAGAGAACAAAACCAGTCAACGAAACCAGTGAGGAAAACCAGTGAACTGTTGTGTAATCCACAGGCGAGGCACTAACTGCCACACGTCACGCGGATCAGGAGAATCACTCGCTTTTATCGGGGTTCAGAACTGGAAACGCTGACGACCAGGCCTCTCTCACACACTCATCCACTACCCACAATCCCCTCTGCCTCTTAAGTGCCAAACATCAATAACAGGGACGGGGGAACAAATCAATTTACTGACGTCTTGCGATTCTTTTCATGCACGATTCTGGAACGACTCACAGAAAGTCAATAGTGAGAGTTTTAGGTTTATTAGTAATAATTCTGTTTATTAACAAAGCACATGCAGGAAACGCACTAGTTTGCAATGGAAAATACGGTTGTGATTCCCTAAATCCGAATCTAATCGTGCGGGACATAAAGATTCTCAACTCTGATCAATGCATGAGTCAGATTTCTTCCTGTGTGACGATATTGACCGTTTGTTATGAAAGAGCTGAGCATTATTAATATGCATGTGTGTGTTGAGATGTGTGCCGGACACACAGGAGTGACACTGGGTTTGTCCCAGGATGACTCTGACCTCCTCCTCCATTAGTGTGATCGCTCCACAGCCGTGTGGGAGTGCGTGTGTGTGTTTGGACTGTGGTTCTGGCTGTGTGTGTGTGTGGTACGACTGTGTTTTATTCATTAAACACTAAGTGGATCTATTCAAATGATCACTCGGGTTTATCTAAACTCCAAACACCGAAAAAATTCACATTTAAATATCATAAACGATTAATCCAGTAATCACTACTCATGTCTCACTATGCTTACATTTTAGGACAGAGTGCTTTAAAAAAATACAAAAAAATATTACTTTTTAATTATAATATTTTTTATTATTATTTAAATTAATTTTAAATTAAATTTAAATTAATGTATTATTTTATTTTAATTCAACAACATTTTTTAAAAAATATATTAAACACTATTTTTTAATAATTAATCAATTATTATAATACAATTATTTTTATTTTATTAAATAGTAATTCAAAATTATTATTTAATAATAATGTCCTCTTTGTTTTTAATTTGATGGACACTGATGAATCAGATGAATTAGAAGAATGATAAGTCTAACATCACATTATTAAACAGGTAGTTCTGTATCTAAACTATCCGGTGGGATGAGCCACGCTCAAAGCTGCTTTAAAATATTATTGCATTATATATATATATATATATGTTATGTCATATTGCCCAGAACATAAAAGTGTGCTGCATTATACTTTGAACTCTAACACTAATTCTAATGTCCTGTCATTTCTGTATAATTCCACCAGTTTTAATGGAAAGGAATCATCAGGACTTATAAAAAAGAACAAATAAGCCTGTAGAAATAATCCAAACGAATCCGTGAACCTGTAAAACACTCTCATCGTGTCAGTGTGTAATGAGAGTCACAGCTCCAACGGTGAGAGGATTATTCACACACACACACACACACACACACACACACACACACACACAGTCATGTGATTCTCAGATCAGCTGACTCAAGATGACAACCCTGATAAGACACCATGTTCGATTTTCCTCAGAAACTGAGACGCGGATCTGAGGGATTTTCCCAAAGACAATAATGTTTCCAGATCACAATAAAGCCGAACGCTCCCGATCGTGACATTTAACTAAGAAACACACTCGACACACACTCCTGCTGCACTTTCAGATCTTGGAAAAGCTTTTATCCAAAGAAGCTCATGGCACAGTCCACCTGCACTGTGTGTGTCTGTGTGCATTTGTGTGATTGTGTGTGTGTGTATGATGCAGGACTGGGAACTATCTTACAACCACTCAGAACATAAAAAGCAACACATTTTCTTCAAAATAAATAAATAAATAAATAAATAAACAAGAGTGCGGGCCAATGATCATATCCAAAATAAAAGTTTGTGTTTACATAATAAATGTGTGTGTATTGTGTACAATTATTTTGTACGTATAAATACACACACATGCATGCACATATTTAAGAAAAATGTGTTATTGTGTAGGTGTGTTAATATAAATTGTGTATAAATAAATATATACAGTATTTATCTGCCAACATTACAAGAGCTGTATTATATATTTAACATATAGTCTTTTTGTAAATGTGTTTTTGTGTATTTTATTATTGTAATAGGCATAGTGTACCCTATGTTATCTTATAGTGTTATTTAGATATTTTTTAGTCAATTTGCTATAGACCTATAAATGTATTTTCTTGTTTGTATTGTAATGCTTTTTTACATCTTGGCTAGGGGACTACAGATGAAAAATAGCCTTTTGGCTAATTCTGGCTTTTTTAACCATGTGTGTTCATGCGTTTTGTGAAATTGCACTGTCCCCTTTTAAATAAACCAATAAATCAAATCAAATCAAATTTATAAGCAAATATTTCCTGCCTATGCGTGTATTTATATATACAAAATAATTATACACAGTATATTAAACACAAACTTTTAACTATATACTTTTATAGCAGGCTTTTTCTGCTCCCGTCAAGGTTTTCTTTCATCCTCGTTACATCACGCTAAACCATGTGACCTCATTACATACATAATTCCCAAATGCCCTGCATTTAAATCATTGATGCCCAACACAATGCCATGAATCATGAGGGCATCCACGTGTTTTAAACTCACGCTTATCTCACGGTTTTTACTGCCTCATTTATGCGATGAACTTTAATAAAGTCTAAAGTAATGAAAGGGGAGTTGTGCTCATCTCTTCTTCCCTATATGAGCATGAATCACTTCTGGAACAGGAACACATGTGGGCGGGGCTTGATTGTGTCCGTGTGGAATTGATTGGATGCTTGTGGTTTGCTGTTGGCTGATCTCATGCGATTGACAGGTTAAAGCCCCGCCCACATCATCAGAGAAGAGATTATTAAGATAATTCAAGATTATTAACACAATAAAGATAAATCATTTATAAATAAGAATGTTCAGATTTGATTTAATAAAGACCCTTGTTTTGGACAAAGCCAGCATCTAATGATTGATAAGTAATAAATATGAACATAAATTAATTTCACGAGTGAATAAAAACAAATTCTCCACAGCTTTCCGTTCATTTCCCAGCATGCACTGGTGTCAGGAATGACGTGAGATGGTCAGAAGCGTGCAGATTAACATTAGCATTGATATAGATTGAATGCCATCTCGTGTCGAGGTCGAAGGTCGTGAGCGCCGGACACTAGCTGCAATTAGTGACGAGCAGATAAACGCCCAAACTACACAATGACATGAAGCAAACGACACTGTGTGAAGTGTTGTGCTTCGCAGCCCTGACCTTCGACCTCATCTAAAGAGTCTTTGTCTCAAGCGTGGTTACTGCTCAGATAGATACGACACATCCACACTGCGTTCTAGAAGAAAGGGATGTACATCACAGTGTGATCATTAAATGAGGATTGATTAGGTAGGAGGCATTACACAGGTGAGGTTACATTGATTGATCGTTAGTTGGTTGTATACCATAATAGTACACAAGACAGTAAACCATTTACATACTTTGAAGCATGTTCATTCATAGATCAGTTAGTCTATGATTAATGCAACAAAGTCTGTATTAACCCTTGAGCATCAATTACAAAAAGTTACACAGGTAAAAAGAGGACAAAAATGTCCATGTCATAAAAATGTGGCGCTTCGGAGCACAGACTTAAGTTTGGTATTATTTTAAAGAAGACCCTTTGCAGATTATTGCTGAAGTAAAACAATAATAATAAGTAAATTTAAGTTTTTTTTTTATAAAAAAATATTTTATATAAAATATATATATTTTATAAATCAGGTTGAACTCAAAACTGCAATAAAATCAAAGCCATAAATCTAAATAGGTTGTGTTCCAAATTTGAGGATGATATCTCAAAAAATGAGCTTTGGGTAACAGTTTGTTTGGGCGTAGTAACATATTTTCCCCATTGGGTGGCAGCAAAACCCCACTGGAGCTCACAGTGATTGGATTTGTTATTTGCAGTTTTTCTCTACACACATACTTTTTTATAACACACATACTAACCACACTCTGACATCCATACCAACACACCCACACAAATATCGTTGCATAATTTATCCAGTCGGCTCTATAATATGCCGAAGCAGAAAACAGGAATAAAGCGATATTTGTTTTATAGGCCAAACTTAAAAAAAAAAATGGCACCATCTGATAAAAAATAGTAAAAGCCTTGCCATCAGAATGAAAGCTTCTTAACAAAGATTGCATAATTTTATAGTTAACTGAACAGGGGATTAAAAATTGCAGTTTTAATGGGTTTCAATGGGGACATTTTTGTCCAAAAGGCGCTGAGAGGGAGTATTTTTTGTACCTAAAGCAAAAAAATGACGGTGAAATAGTAAAATTCCAATAAAAATACACACCTGTGCAAAGTTTTTTGCAGTTAGCTTTAACACAGGCAAAGTGATCAAAAAAACAAAACTGAAAAGGACAAAAATGTCCATACGGATGCACAAGGGTTAAAGATTGTTTCCATCCAGGGCCGGCCCGAGGCACAAGCGAACAGAGCGGCTGCTTGGGGAGGGTTGAAAAATCAAGTCGAAAATTTGAAAAATATTTTTTAAATGAATTAAACAAGTGACATATGAATGAATGAATAATTAAAGACAAGAAAATTCTGATTCCATGATCAATATACCTCTCTTCATCAGTTTACCAAATAGGTGTTTTTGAAATGTTGAATATGGTTTTACCATTGGAGCATTTCTATGTGATATCACTGCAATGTTATTCCGAGGTGTTTTACACATCATACATTTGTTCCCCCTCAAAGAAAAAAAAAACAATTACTTAAACAAGCATGTTGAGGTAGCATTTTACTCAAAGAAAAATCAAGCAACACAATCAAGGGTAAGAGAACTATATTACAGTACGCCACAGTACGACTGTCGTTTAATTGCTAAACCTTGACGCCTGTTTTGCAATAGCTGCTTCTTTTGAGAGGTCGGGTCCTTGAAAAGTACAGTGGGGTCATTGCGCCGGCCCTGTACCTTTCGAAGAAGATCATCCCTGAATTTTTGTGAAGTCAGTTCATAAATTTTCCGGGCCACCCACTCTTTATTTAGCTTGGGAAAAACAGTGTTGTATCGAGGAATACCTATAAAATAGAAACGTATAAAGTCACATGCCATTATTTTATGGAATAATTCAATTACCCAGTCCATTTTTCTCTGTGTTTGTGTGTGTGTGTGTGTATATATATATATATATATCACACCTCACACACACACACATGCATATATATTTAGAAAAAAAATTTATTTAGCTTATATATATATATAGCTTATAGTCATACAAAAAACAAAAGACTACACATACTTAAAGTAGTTCACTTGAATAAAAACTTTTCCTGATAATTTACTCACCCCCATGTCATCCAAGATGTCCACGTCTTTCTTTCTTCAGTCGAAAAGAAATTAACGTTTTTGATGAAAACATTCCAGGATTTTCTCCATATAATGGACTTCAATGGGGTCCAAACGGTTCAAGGTCACAGACGACACCAGACGATAAATAAGGGTCTTATCAAGGACCCATCGAGTCATGACTCGAAAAAAGATTTGTTCATTTTGATGAACAGGAGAGTCACGAACGCTCATCACAGAAAAGAGCAAGCAAGCATTTGTGCTTATAAAACTTAAACTTTTTTACTTTTTTTTGAACTGGCCGATGGTTTCGCTTGATAAGACCTTTATTCATCGTCTGGTGTCGTTTAAAGCCCTTTGAAGCTGCACTGAAACTCTCATTTGGACCTTGAACCATTTGGTCCCCATTGAAGTCCATTATATGGAGAAAATCCTGGAATGTTTTCATCAAAAACCTTAATTTCGTTTCGACTGAAGAAAGAAAGACACGGACATCTTGGATGACACGGGGGCGAGTAAATTATCAGCAAAAGTTTTTTTTTAAAGTGAACTACTCCTTTAAAGCGACTCAAATAGTTATGATTTACACTTACCTGTCATTTCTCCCATCCCATGACAAAGTCAGTATGTTCTGCATCCGCCTTCCAAAATATTCTCCTGTTGTTCTTTGTACACAACATCTACAACAGGGATTAGATAAGAGGACTGGATAGTCGGTGTACACGTTTGTTTTCTTTGGTATTTGTAGGTTGTAGGCAATGTATCCCAGTCATCAATGTCCACATGTGTCGACGCTGCCACAAGAAGGTTATTAGCTGGTATTCCTCAAATATCATCACATGAGTCCCATTTTCCTTGATGACCATTAGAACATTCCCATATAACACGTATGAAGCGACCACAAGTTATTTTTTGGGTCTCGATTACTAATGATCCACAATAATGGCATCTATTAAACAGCTCCATCAATCTGGACTCATTCACAATCCAATTTTGATCTTTGCATTTATTTTCTTCATCATCTTCTGCAGTCGAAGTAGATGTCGAGGTGGAACTTGGAGGAACAAGACTTCCTTCAGATCGGTTGTCAATTTCAGCTGTTTTTACACTCTAAATGGAAAAAAAATATATAACTTACATTTGTGTTTAACCAATTACAAAGAAAAAAACAAAATATTAACATTTTCATTAACCCTTGTGCATCCTTATGGACATTTTTGTCCTTTTCAGTTTTGTTTTTTTGATCACTTTGCCTGTGTTAAAGCTAACAGCAAAAAAAAAAAAAAGTGTGTATTTTTATTGGAATTTTACTATTTCACCATCATTTTCTTAACAAAATATTTTTTGCATTAGGTACAAAAACTACTCCCTCTCAGCACCTTTTGGACAAAAATGTCCCCATTGAAACCCATTAAAGGTGCCATATGGAATAATTGAGGTACAAATATCCAAAAAAATGAGCTACACACATCAAAAGAATGAGAAGAAATAAGTGCAATGATGTCATTAAAAAACTGGCAAGTTATAGTGCTGCCGAGATATAACCTAAATTAGCATGCTAAATTATTAGCCCCGGCCCGGCAGGTGTCGTAATACCAGTTTCGGCCATGGGAGGCGGTATGCGGGCGGGCAACATTGCCACCAGCCAAACTGCAGTAACACGAGTAAGTCGCGCCGGCTTGTGTGTACTTGAACCTGATGTCATGTCGTGATGTCGTGTGGAAATACAGCCCACTACTACATTTCAGTTCAGGGATGAGTTAAATAAATGATTGGTCGATATTATGCATGAGGAATACATTTTAGTAAGTTGTAACATACTGTATCTTTCAACAGTGTTCGTGTTCTTTTACCATTAGCTAGTAGAGATGATCGGTTCACGTGCGCTAGGGATCTGTCGTCTAACATTTACAAGCGCCAAAACTGCATTTATTGTTTGAATTGCGTAATAAAATGAACAGAATCTGAGAGCTGAGATCGGTCTTCGTGTCCTTTTCTGTGCATGACAAAATGGATGTGGCGTGAGTGTGTGAAAAGTTGTGTGTCTCACGGTGAATTTGTGAGAGTTGGCAGCTCTGAAAGGCGCTAGCTTGGTCCACATCAGGGAATGCTGTCTGTCAAATTAATTCAAACTAATGATAAAAATGTAACATGAACAAAACGAATACCATAAACTAAAAATGCCTGGGCTTTAATTTTCCCATATCGTCGAAATGCACCGGCTTGTCAATGAGACGGCCTTTATAATTTAGTATTGAGATGTTGTTCATTTAGTCTCTAATCTCTGAAAATCTCCAAATGATCCACGTGAAACTGTGGTCCTCCAACCTTTTACTATTAGTTTTACTGATTAATATGCGTGAGGGAGACCCGCTCGCCCGTGTTGTTTGAAGACATGAGTGCGCGCGGCCGCGGAGGTATTTTTCTGGAGGTATACTGCCCCCATCTGGTATGGAATATGGTGTATGAATTGATTTTTTTTCCCAGGTGGCACCTTTAAAACTGCCATTTTTAATCCCCGGTTCAGTTAACTATAAAATTATGCAATCTTTGTTAAGAGGCTTTCATTCTGATGGCAAGGCTTCAAAATTTTATTTTTTACTATTTTTTATCAGATGGTGCCATTTTTTTTTAAGTTTGGCCTATAAAACAAATATGGCTTTATTCCTGTTTTCTGCTTCGGCATATTATAGAGCCGACTGGATAAATTATGCAACGATATTTGTGTGGGTGTGTTGGTATGGATGTCAGAGTGTGGTTAGTATGTGTGTTATACAAAAATATGTGTGTAGAGAAAAACTGCAAATAACAAATCCAATCACTGTGAGCTCCAGTGGGGTTTTGCTGCCACCCAATGGGGAAAATATGTTACTACGCCCAAACAAACTGTTACCCAAAGCTCATTTTTTGAGATATCATCCTCAAATTTGGACCACAACCTATTTAGATTTATGGCTTTGATTTTATTGCAGTTTTGAGTTCAACCGGATTGATAAAATATACATTTTATGTAAAATATTTTTTTTATAAATAATTTTCATAAACTTATACCTATATAACTTTTTTGGGGATTTACTTATTATTATTTTTTTTACTTCAGCAATAATCTGCAAAGGGTCTTCTTTAAAATGATACCAAACTTAAGTCTGTGCTCCAAAGAATCACATTTTTATGACATGGACATTTTTGTAACTTTTTTTAATTAATGCACAAGGGTTAAAAAGTTTACTCACCCATTGACAGGACTTTGTTGCAGGGAAGGCGTAGTACGTCCCTGATGTCGATGGCATTGAACACTTTACAGCTCTAGCTGGACTTGATAAAACCAAAATAAGACGTGACGGAAATGAGCTCACAGGTTCTTGCTTAAATCTACGGATTCTTTGTTGTTTAAGTGGGGTTGAGTCGGGAACAGCATTTAAATATGAATCCGGCAATATTTCCTCTTTTACAGTGTTTCCACTTAGATCAGTTGCTTGTGGGAGAAAACTGGTAGGGACTGGATCTGGTAAACCAGGGTCCGGACTGAGCAGTGATGGATCCTTTGTCTCCTAAAAACAATTCAAGTCACTGTTGTAACTCGGATGTAATAAAATGTACCATGTGCAATGCAGTTTAAATATATATAGCCACAGATGACGACATTGAAGGACTTAAAAAACACATTTGCTGATAATTTACTCACCACCATGTCACCCATTCATTTTTCATTCTTTCTTCAGTCGAAAAGAAATTAAGGTTTTTGATGAAAACATACCAGGATTTTCTCCATATAATGGACTTCAATGGGAACCAAACGGCTCAAGGTCCAAAAGACAGTTTCAGTGCAAACTGTTCAAAGGGCTTTAAACGATTCCAGACGATGAATAAGGGTCTTATCAAGCGAACTCTCCTCTCATCAAAACGAACGGATCTTTTCCAGAGTCAACTTGTTCATTTCATTCGTTGAATGAACCAAATGACACGAAAAAAGATTCGTTCATTTAGAGTCATGAACACGCATCACAGAACAGAGCAAGGCGAGGATTCGAGCTTATAAAACTTAAACTTTGTTATTTATTTATTAAATGAGCGATCGTTGACCCTTATTCATCGTCTGGAATCGTTTAAAGCCCTTTGAACAGTTTGCACTGAAACTCTCTTTTGGACCTTGAACCGTTTGGACCCCATTGAAGTCCATTATATGGAGAAAAATCCTGGAATGTTTTCATCCAAAATCTTAATTTCTTTTCGACTGAAGAAAGAATGACATGGACATCTTGGATCTCATGGGGGTGAGTAAATTATCAGCAAAAGGTTTTTTTTAAAAAGTGAACTCATCCATTAAGATAACTAATATAAACTTTAAGTTAAGTTATGGTTAACGTGCCGCTTACACTTACCTCGTACATTACTGGCACAGCTGTTGAGTTCAGTAATCGTCGACTGTTTCCTAAAACTGGCCTGAAGTCGTCAGGTGTAAAATGTTCACTGCACAACCTCAAGTGTTTGACGACTTTCAGTGGTAAATGAACATCCCGCTGAATCGCCAGCAGCCATAGCTTCACTCGCTCAACATCATTTAGTGGGAAAGTGAAAAAGGTAAGCCGTTCATTTCCAAACATTGAGGAGGCACTTGCACGTTTTTTGATTGGTTTCTCACGATTCGTACATCCTGGAAATGAACACCTTTTAACCATTTTATAATCTATATCGAGATAAGTGTCGAATTCAAAAGCTTCTGCAGCGCGCGTCTGCCTCTGCATGTAAACAGAAAGTTTGTCGCTTCCGGTTACATCAGCACGTCAACTGACGTCATCGCGCAATATGGGGAACGGAATATCCGCCATTTTTGTGAGGCCACAAACACAAGCCGGCAGCTATGTTGGTTGTATTAATTGTTTATCTGAGCATTCTTAAAAATAGTTTACAGAGACAAACTCCTAATGTACGCCAAGAAATGCTAACGTTATGTTGAAAAAATCTACTTTATTGGAAATGTCGATCCTTATAAAGTCCAAAGCCCTGTGGATCCGCGACAATGACGCCTTTCCTCCCGTCACATTTCCTGATATATGAACTTATTTTACAGAAATTTCGTAATTGTGTAGCCCACATTCAGTTCATTAATAGTTGGGTACATGACCTGGAGATTTGTAAGCCTGTCAACGGTGAAAACACTGTCGTCCGAACTTAATATAATCAATAATACCCATAAGTAGGTTATATTTTCCACAAGCTCTTAAGAATTAGGTGATACAGTTGAGACACCCATTTTTAATGATGTACAGGTAACTAATCGTTCATTGAAAATATAATAAATAAGGACAAATAAAAAAACAATTGGGCAACATTGTTTATTTATTCCATTTCAATTTATTTATTTTTCATTTGGTTTAAATTTATAAAACAGAAACAATATATTTTATATTTGCATTAATAATACACAGTGTAATTATAACAAATATCTAATTTTAATTTCATTTGCGGCTTATGCTGGCTAATTACAACGTTTAACCTGTTATCATAACACTGAACATCTAAAACAGTGTGTTTCCTAATAGGACTCTATCGGGGGTCCAGATACACACATGTCTCAACTTACCCCGCTGGCCACCTCACACATTTCTCTAGATTTTGCATTGAGCTTGCATGACACAATCTCATGCAATATGCCAGTATTTAGGGCACAGAATTACGTTTGTGATGATGCCAGTTACGTTTAACAGTCACACAAGGATAATAGTGTGATCGGATCGGAGACCGTCCATTGTTCAAATTTCCCACAATCAAAGAGGACACTAATATGCATGTGCTTGTGATTGCTTAAGGTGTCTCAACTGTACTCAGTCTACCCTACCCATGTAGGTGCTCTGTTATTTAAAGTGGAGGCTACTTAAGTTTGTTCTCAACATGATTCTACTGTGTGTGTGTGTGTGTGTGTGTGTGTGTGTGACACACACACATTCTTAACATAATTGCACTCTATATAATTCAGGTTTGCTTCACTTGCTTCATTCTGACTTTATATCTCGCAATTCTGACTTTATATCTCGCAATTCTGACTTTATATCACGCAATTGCGACTTTATATCACACAATTCTGACTTTATATCTCACAATTCTGAGAAATAAAGTAAGAATTGCGAGATATAAACTCGCAATTGTGAGGAAAAAAAAGTCAGAATTGTGAGATAAAAAGTATTTTATTATTATTTTTTTATTCAGTGGCGGAAACAAACTTCTGAATCATGAAAACTGAACGATAGACAGTTTTTTTTTGCAACAGTAAAAAAAATTGAAACAATAAAGGGGCCAAACATGATCTGTGTTAATGTCCCAGAAATAGGGCACTTACCAGAGACGATCCCACGATTCTGTGACTGTCCCGAAAGCTTAGGGTCAAAAAGCTTTTGTTTTGGCTAATCCATCATTATGAATTTTAAAGCTGTAGAAATGGCTGAGCTCCACTGTGTGTGTGTGTGTGTGTGTGTGAGAGACTACTTAACTATATTTTGGGGACAAATTTGTACCTAGAAGTGACCAAAACCAGTCCAAAAGCCTCCCTTTAGGGACGTCCTCGTTCTGGTATAAAAATAAAGTAATTAATTTTTTTTTAAATGTAAAAACACACTAAGTTGTGTGTGATGAGTGGGTTTAGGGGTCGGGTTAGTGTGTGTTCGTTGTGGAGGTTGCATGTACCTTTGACTCTAGTACTTGTATTTTAATATGTGTATATATTTATAGCTATTGAAGAACACTCTTGCAGGGCGGAGTACCCATAATATTATTTAAGTACCTTTGTTACTTTTTATTGATGACTGTATGTTTTTGTTTTTAGTTTGTGTGTGTTATAATAGTTGGAGCTTGTATTGCAAGACAAATTTCCGTGTACACGGACAATAAAGTCTTATCTTATCTTATCTTATGGAAGAAGCCTTTATGAATAAAGATCAAACACTCCTAAACATCATCTCAGATTTAGGTTACCAGAGCCGACTTCTTGTGTTCATAATTTGCAGCTTAGGACACACACACACACACAGGCTGGTTGTAAGTTGGTTTCAACAACTAAGGATGCCCAAAAAGAGGGCTAAAGAGCTAGCAAAGCACTGCGCTCAGTCTGCTACTATAGGCAGCCGTCACATCTGTCACCGTAACCATGACAACTGAGTGACGCTCAATATTATGAACATCTGCTGTACGCCACTGGTCCATGATTATCTGCATCTACAGTATTAGTGTCCCTGTAAATCATTTCTTTTAAGTGGATTTAAATAAATAGATGTGTGTGTGAGTGTGTGTGTGTTCATTTGTACCTCCGAAGTACGATCCGTCGGAGAGTTTGGTCTCGTTGCTTCCTTTAGTGAGAACGCTCACGACTCCGTGCTGGATGAAGTACATCTTCTTCCCGATCGTTCCCTCTCGGATGATGTAATCTCCGGGCTGGAACACCTCGAAGCGAAGTTTGGTGAGCATCGACGTCACAAAATTCGGATCGGCGTTGGCGAACAGCGGCATCGACGCCACCAGCTTCCGACAGTTGAAGTTTATGATCTCCTGAACACATGACAGGCAGATATTGAACACTACAGCTGATCTGACGCCAGAAAGCACACATACTGCATAAATGTGTGTGTGTGTGTGTGTCTATGAGAGCAGGTTTACCCAGCATGCATCTGTGTGTGTGTTTGTGTTTATGGATGAGAGCAGGTTTACTCAAAATGCATCTGCGTGTGTGTGTGTGTGTGTGTGTCCTCACCTCTCTCAGTGGCTCATTGAGTTCTCCCAGAATGCTCTCTTCATCGAACATCTTGCCCTGGTATCTGTGCTCGTAGTAATCGTGGATCCGCTGCCTCATGTCCGCCGGCAGCTTATGGAACGACATGTACTGCTCCACCTGCTTATACTGCACACACACACACACACACACACACACACACATAGAAAAATCAAAGTGAATTTTATGCTAAAGAGAAACATATAAAACATGAATTATTTCTTGTTAATGTTACAACACTGATTTAAAGGCACGCTTTTGATTTCATTTTTCCAACACTTTGCTAATTGACAAGTTTTGGGTTAATTATTGGTGTATATTTTATATTAATATATTATGTTGCAAAAAAAGTTATTTTTTTATTTTTGAAAAATTCAGACTATATGTAAACGTCTGTTATGTGAAATAGCTGATTCAAGACAGTATTAAATAAAAAGTGATGTGCAATTTTTATGATCCATCTCTGACTGAATTTAGCAGATTGTTAAAGATAAAAGTATCCATATAAAATATTATATAACAATATGTTTAATAATTTATTAAATTATTATTTTTAAATTATTACATTTAAATACAATTTAAAACATGCATAAATAACCAATTAAATAATTAATAAATAAAATAAAGATTTTTTTTTAATAGAAAATGTATCAGTTCTCATAGATGACGTCATTAGCATTCAAGTTAAAATAATGGCATACAACCTTCAACTGACTGACTGTGTGTGTGTGTGTGTGTGTGTCTGTGAGAGAGAGAGAGAGAGACGGTGAGTTACGTGTGAGTGTGTGTGTAAGAGAGAGAAACAGACAGTGAGTTTTGTGTGCGTGTGTGTGTGTGTGTGTGTGTGTGTGTGACAGAGAGAAACAGACATTGAGTTTTGTGTGCACATGTGTGTGTGTGTGTGCTGTTCTGAAAGTTGTCAGGACCGCTCTGACAGGACAGAGCAAAAGATCAAAGGTTTGTAGAATACAGAGCAACAGAGCTAAGATCTTTACTGACCTTCACACACACACACACACACTGAATGACAATTAGCCCCTCACACACACTCACACACACACACACACGTTCTGCATCAGTTTAATATGCACACTATGATCCACACGAGCATCTGTGAGTCCAGCAGACAGAGAGATATGAGAATAGAAATGACAGATAGATATCACACTTCTATTCTCATCTGATGCTGTGAAGGAGACGCTCAAACTCGTCTCACACACACACACACACACACACAGCAGACGCTAACATCCTCTGAACGCCAGAGAGACGTTCACAGAGACGAGGCTGACGTGAGCTACAGGCCCTGAAACTGGCCATGATCTACTGCCTATGGCACTGCCTGAGAGAACACACACACACACACACACACACACACACACTTAAACACATAACAAAAGACTACATTGATAATGATAACACAACTAGTGATTGAAGCTCCTCTTCCTTGAACAGCAGCAGTCGTTCACTCTCTACTCCTGCAGCATCATCACGAGTAGCTCCGCCCACAGCCCAATCCCATTGGCTCCTCACAACTGTACATCACACAACACATGTTCTGATTGGCTGATTGTGTCACACCAACAGCCTGCCACTAAAAACGGACATTTTAACAACTTAAACAGTTCCCGATGCTCTTAATTACATAATGTCATAATGACAGTCAGTTATGCTCGTTTTAGAGACTGACTGATTTTAAAAGGTTGTTGTGCGTTTGGCGGATGCTTTTATTGTCTTAAACTTTTACATTATTTCATGCATGAATCAAACCTAGTGCTGTGATCTGAACAGAAGCTGCAGAAACACTCTTCAAAATGTGCTTTTATAGGAAATGATGTCATCATATGTGTGTGAGTGAACTCTCACTGCTTTCGTCCTGCAGTGCAAACACACACACACACACACACACACACACACCAACCCTCCGTGCTCATGTGTGCATCCCAATGAGGCTGTTCATCGAGTGTGACGGCTCACCTACAAACCACACACACACTGACCTCTCCGAGTGTGTGCTGACTTTTAATCAGGCTGTCCACTGTTCATATTCAGAGCACACACACACACACACACACACACAGATATACACACTGCAATTGTGATATCAAACACTATAAAAAAAAGCTTCACATTTGCTGTGCTGCACATTCGGTCAAAAACTTATAAAATATCAATATGACTTTATGATTAAATATTAAATATTATGATTAAATATCAATATGACTATAAATTAATAATAATAATAATAAAGTAAAATAATTAATAAATACATAATTAAATAATAATAATAATAATTCTGAACCACACAATATTATAAGAAATATAACTTTTGTGACATTTCACAGTAAAAAAAAGAGTATTTAGGAAAAATGTATATAATAATTTTAGGAAAAACATGATTATATATCAGTGTATCTATAAATAATAATAAATAAATTAATAAAATCTTAAAAAGTTTAAGAAATATTAATATTTTAACAGTTCACTGTAAATTAAAAGTATTTAAGTAAAATAAATAATAATAATAATTTTATTTTGCAGAGGTCCACAATATGGACATAGATGTGATTATATCATCAGTTCTGCAGACGCGCTTCTGACACGCCACACACACACACACACACACACATACACACACTCTCCAGGAATAATGACACATGAAATCACCTGACTTTACACACACACATACGCATGTGCACTCTCTCTCTCTCTCACACACACACACACACACACACACACACACACTCACTCATTTACTCTCTCACACAAACACACCTCTCACACTCACAGACACGCAAGTGAACTTCAGTTCCAGGAAGTGATGTAACGTTCCACCCACACAAAATGACCTGACTTTACACACACACACACACACAGCGCATCCGTTACGCCTCTTTCTGTCCCCTAACACTACATGCAAATTTCCTTTCCAAATGAACATGAATAATTCATATCCCAACAGAGATGTCAGCCAGTTAATTATCATTTCTAAACATTTATGTTTCCTTCTGCCCGTATTCCTCTCTTCACGAGGAAGCCCAGGCTCATCACGGCCTCCAACACACAACACAACGCTTGCTGATCATCACACAGCGAGTGTTTCCCGCAGGAACACACAACTCTAGACCCGAGACTCACGTCAAACTTCTCTAAACCCCTGAAACACCAGCTTTTCTTTGAAATATCCTGCGTGTGTTGATGAATCATTCATTACGGGTCCAGAAACGTGCGGAGAAAATAAATAACACACATTTCGGTTTGAACTTTCTGATGGAACGTGTTTTTTAACACACACACACACACACACACACACTAAATTAAGGCTGCATGATTTGGGGGCAAAACATTTAATTGTGAATTTTCGGATAAAAAGTTGGATGCATAATTTGGTCAAAAATTGAGATTATATTTTTATATGGCCATAAAATAATAACAAGAATGATATTTTAGCATTTCACTGCAAAATATACATATTTTTAATAAAAAATAAATAGAAATATTTTATATTCTGATAAAAGTTGGCTGCATAATTTGGTCGATAATATATTTATCGATTATAAATCAATAATAAAATTGCAATAATATATTTATATGGCTATAAAATAATAATAATAATTTTCACTATCACTAAATAAATATTATCACTAAATAAATTATCACACTATCACTATTATATAAGTATTCAACAATATAAGAATGATATTTTAGCATTTCACTGCAAAATATACATATTTTTAATAAAAATAAACAGAAATATTTTATATTCTGATAAAAGTCGGCTGCATAATTTGGTCGATAATATATTTATCGATAATAAATCGATAATAACATTGTGATAATATATTTATATGGCTATAAAATAATAATAATAATTTTCACTATCACTAAATAAATAGTATCACTAAATAAATCACTACATAAACTATCACACTATCACTATTATATAAGTATTCAACAATATAAGAATGATATTTTAGCATTTCACTGCAAAATATAGATATTTTTAATAAAAATAAATAGAAATATTTTATATTCTGATAAAAGTTGGCTGCATAATTTGGTCGATAATATATTTATCGATAATAAATCAATAATAAAATTGCAATAATATATTTATATGGCTATAAAATAATAATAATAATAATTTTCACTATCACTAAATAAATATTATCACTAAATAAATCACTAAATAAACTATCACACTATCACAATATCACTATTATATAAGTATTCAACAATATAAGAATGATATTTTAGCATTTCACTGCAAAATATAGATATTTTTAATAAAAATAAATACAAATATTTTTATATTCTGATAAAAGTCGGCTGGATAATTTGGTCGATAATATATTTATCGATAATAAATCAATAATAAAATTGCGATAATATATTTATATGGCTATAAAATAATAATAATAATAATTTTCACTATCACTAAATAAATATTATCACTAAATAAACTATCACACTATCACTATTATATAAGTATTCAACAATATAAGAATTATATTTTAGCATTTGACTGCAAAATATACATATTTTTAATAAAAATAAACAGAAATATTTTATTTTGCAGGGCTGCACAATTTAGATTTGTATACCAGCATGAATATAATAATATTAATATTATTATTCCTAATAAAATATTAAACAAAATAAGAATTATAATTACTATTGTAGCATTTCATTATAAATATATATATATAGCCTATATATATATATATATATATATATATATATATATAATAGTCATTAAAACAATCATTATTTTAATTTGCAGGGGTGCTAGAAATACAGGACGAATCCTTCATATTTAGTCCAGAAACAATATAAAGCGCTTCAGGTGATGCTCTCCGCACACACAGGCCATCCCATCATCCTCCAGCGGTCTCCATGGCGACAGCAGGTTACCGTGTGAACGGGATCAAGGGGAACTGATGAATGAGCATGACAGGCTGTGACGGGTGTGTGTGTGTGGAGTCCGGCGTGTGCGTGTGTGTGAAGGATGTGTGTTTTCCTGATTCCAGCATTAGAGATGCAGAGTAAAGAACAAAGCCCTGAGCGCAGCGACTCAAAGGTTGAGCTTCACTTCACTCGCAACCCGTAAATAACAATTAACCAGCCGG